TTAACACTAGGAAAGGATTCAACATCTATTGCTGGTTTAGATGTTCCTGAATCTATGGAAATTAATTTACCCGAGCCACCATTTGATTTGAATTTTGACCATTTGAATTTTGATCAGTCACCATCAGCAATAAATTATGAGGAAACACCTGTGATTGCACATTTTGATGAAGATGTAAGTAGGTACAGAAATAGATCCACCTACAAAAATCCTTCCTAACTAAAATACTAAGCCAAGTTCCTCAAATTCACATGAGAGTAATAATAAACTGGTCAAAAAATACACAGGTAAATTTGATATTGTATCTTAATATAACCATTATTGTAATCACTCATGTATACTGCATTACACAGCTACACTGATTAATTTTCAAGTTTAAAACAGTTCACATTCTTTGTTATGTCAGCCATGCTTTTAAATGTAATTCTCTTATTTTCACCAGAATTTCATTTATAATTGCAATAGCTTAGTCACTTGTATTTTTAAAATATTTGTATGACGTTTATATATACCTACTTTATTTCACATACTAATAATAACTCTCCATTAAAAGAAATTTTTTTTGTATTTCAGTAAGTCGCTTATACCCATGGTAAAAATAAATCAACTATTCATATATGTGTACTTAAATAATGAAATTACATTATTGACATTAATGAGTATTCAAAAATATATGTTTACATAGAAATCAAATTTTGGGGATGAAAAGGAAAACTTCAAATAGAATTACCAAAAATCCAGATCTACAAGACTAAGTTAGAATAAAAAACTGGAGTTAGAGTTGGGCCAACTATCAAGTGAATTTGCAATTGATATTAATAATGAAGGAATGAATTTGATTTTGTATGAACAATGAGAAACCAAGCAATGTCACAAATGCATTAATTTACTTTATTTCTTCTTTAAATGAAATTTTTATAAGGAAAAGTATTAGATTATTTGAGTATTGACAAAATATAAGTGTTATTAAAATACAATAACAATAATAATGCTTAATGTTAATAATGCTTAAGGTTATTTTCAACAGTTTAATAGAGTACATACCCATAACATAAACGAATTGGCTGTGTGACTTTAATTTTAAATATTAATTTATAATACAAATATATTTACATGAAACAAATTAGTTTTGAGGCTATAATTTTTATCTGCAATTATAATAAACACACATTTCATTAATCATACAACATATGATTTTTTCCGTAAATAGAACAAGAAAACCTTTATAATAAATTATTCTGATTGTTACACATCATGATTAATCATGAAACATACACAAAACGAAGAAAACATCTATAACAATTAAACTTAAAGCTAACTACAAAGAAATATTAATGACATTTTAAAATTGAGAAGTTTTTAATACAAAAATTCCACAACACTAACATTAACAAATAAAATATGTTTATTCGGCAAATTTTGTTTGCATTATTTGTTTATTCATCTCAATCGTTAGTTGGGTTAGATAAACAGATAGTAGGTAGAAGATGAGTAAAAATTGTGTTTGCCGTTGGTAGCCAAATAAATAAGCTATAAACATATTTTGTACTTTAAATATTTATACAAACCATCAATAAAAACTTAAACTATATAGAATTGTTGGTTCTTCCTTGCCCTGGTTCAAATGCTATCTTCAGGGACGTTATCAACGAGTTGTAATCAAAGATAAATCTAACATTAAAAATTTCTCAAACTGGTGTCCGGTTCTTCATGGCGTTCCTCAAGGGTCTAAAGTTGGACCTCTTCTTTTTATTCTCTACATAAATGATCTAGCTGCCACATTGGATTCCAGAATCATAAAATTTGCCGATGACACCACTGTGTTGGTCAAAGCTCCATCTGTTGCCCTAGCGTCTATCAAAGCATCGGAAAATTTGAACAAAATAGAACTTTGGTCAACAAAACAAATGGTCTTCATCTCAACTGTTCAAAAACTTCATTTTCACAATCCACAGTTAAATACAGAAAAGGTAACCATCAGCTTGGATTCTGGGGAACAAATCAAGGCTTCAGAAAACATAAAATTTCTGGATTTGTATATGAATGAACATTTAAAATGGACAGAACATCAATTTCAGGTGACTAAATCGTTAGCCAGAATCATAAAATTTGCCGATGACACCACTGTGTTGGTCAAAGCTCCATCTGTTGCCCTAGCGTCTATCAAAGCATCGGAAAATTTGAACAAAATAGAACTTTGGTCAACAAAACAAATGGTCTTCATCTCAACTGTTCAAAAACTTCATTTTCACAATCCACAGTTAAATACAGAAAAGGTAACCATCAGCTTGGATTCTGGGGAACAAATCAAGGCTTCAGAAAACATAAAATTTCTGGATTTGTATATGAATGAACATTTAAAATGGACAGAACATCAATTTCAGGTGACTAAATCGTTAGCCAAAGCTTTGTTTAGATTAAGGGTCATCTTCAAAACAACGGGACTAAATGCTGCTTTGACTGTTTACCATTCCTATTTTATGTCCAGGGCTTGCTATGGCATTATTTCTTGGGGCAGCTCTCCGATCATAAATGGGTTTTTATTCTTCAAAAAAGGCCATAAGAGTTTTAACTGACACTGCACCTCGTACTTGTTGTCGTCCTCTGTTTGTAAATTTAAAACTATTAACATTTCATGCTGTGTATATATATCAACTATGTATATTTGTTAAAAAACACTTGACCTCATTCTCATCAAAAAATCACCAACATCCATATAACACTCGACATAGAAACACTCTTTAGATCCCTATCCATAGAACAGTTATTTATGAGAAAGCTCCTTTGTATATGGGTGGGAAGCTATTCAACCACCTCCCTAACCAAATCAAATTGACAGAAAAGATGGATATTAAAAAAAAAAAAAATACTTAGGGAACATTTGGAACTACTTTGTCCTTGTTCAGTTGATGAATTTGTTTTAACTAACGTCACTCTTTTTGTTATATTTTAATCTTCTGGCCTTATTTTTTAATATATTACCAACTACAATGAAATAAAATGTATAATATCATGTATTTTGCTGTGAAAACCTGACGTGTCATATGTTTACTGGTGATGTATCACAATTATGTAAATTCTATGTGACAAATAAACATTTCATTTCATTTTTCATTTCATTTCAAGGTCCTTAATATGTTTGTCACAAAACTGAAATATCATAATGAAATTATATCTCGTTGTCATACAGTTAATTTTTTTATGTTTTTAGTTGCAAAACTTTTTTAGGGCTGAATGAACTGAAATTAGTTTAATCGTTTAATACGGTAATCCTTATAACGATGTTGCAAGTAAATAAAGGCTGTAGATATTATAATGTGTTACAAAATATCAAACTATGGATTATCGTGATATGGATTTTAAAGATCATTAACAAAAATTACAACATATACGTCATATGTTATCTTTATCAACTCTACTGGAATAATATTTTATGTAGAGAAGTGGAATAAAGACAACAGGAAGTAACGCGAAACGTTGAGGTAATATTAGACATTTATTGAAAAGCCAATGGGTGACAGCGATAGCCACGTCCAAGGTCACATATGCCGAGACAGGGGGATGGCAGGACGGGGATTGAGTGGGAATTATGATGATCCTTTATTTCACAGTTGATTCAAACTGGATAAACTCATCCCGTGCACCATACGCTATCATCATTTTCCTTCAAGTGTTTAGCTACTATTGACAAAAAAGAACAGTTAAGTTTTTTTAATTCAATTTAAATATAAGTACTAGACAATCAAGTTTAACAATTTCCCTATTCCTTAGTCACCCAACCTGTATAAACAGCCTCAGTATCAAAGGTCAACCCCAACGTTATCTCTGAAGCTAGTTCCGTGTTAGCCACTGAAGAAGACACATGGGGTACCCCACTACACTACAAGTTCAGTAAGCAAATTTACTCTTGCAAAAGGTATTTATTACTTTCACTTTAATTTTTTGGGCTGTTCCCATTATTATATCCAACATTTGGTCCTTCGAACCCTGATAATCAATCCAGTACCTAACTTAAATATTTCCAATTTAATTTTTAACCCACCATCAAGTCACATCAAGAAATAAAATTACAACAGTTAATAAATTCCAAGAAAATCTATTTTAATAACTAAAGTAACACATATTTCAATTCCAAAATTAATTTGGTAATTTTATTCAAGACATTAACCTCAAGAAGTATTTTAAATTATATTTTTATGACTTTTCAATTCAGGAAAAGAATGATTGTTTTCATGTAATTTCATGCAAGCCAAGTCACATTCAAGCATTTCAAGTTAGTTCAAGTGATGTGGACAGGACCATTGGACCTTTCAATTCCTTCAATTCCACTGTCTCAAGAGTATTTCAATTAATTCTTTCAAGTCCACTGTTCCACCAACAACCTATTTTACTTTGTCCCTCGACAGGGAATTTTTGTGCTAGAAGAGGGTAATTTTTCTTATTACCCAGAAGAGTAGCAGGGAAATTTTTGTTCAAGAAGAGGGTAATTTTTCTATTACTTCTACATCAAGAGGGTAAAGAGAGTCAAAGCCTGCATCACTGCTGGTACACCTGATTTCCCAGAGTTACTTTAACTTATTTGGTTTTATTCAATGTTGACAACCATTCTCTCCAATTTCCATTTACATTGAGGTTATGTTATGACTGTATTCTGAATAATACAAGAAGATTGAAGAATTTATTGAACATGTTACTGGTGTGTATTCCTTTTATTATTATTTCTACTTAATGCTGAAAGTAGACTTCTATCATTACAATGAATATTGAATCATTTCATGTTTGTTATGAAGTAGGCCTACATGACCAACTTTGTTATTATTTACTTCACTAGGCCTGACATTATTATAAACTATTTGATTTGATTTATGCGTAACCTATCAAAATGACTGAAAAGCTCAAGAAGGAAATTGAACTTCTTAAATTTAAGAGGGATTCATTTGTACAGAAAATTGATTTACTTCAAAAAAAGGGTTTAGGTTTATCTGTAGACCATAGTCCAGATGAGCTCTCCGAGTTCAAGGTTCGCTGTGAGCGGCTACCTGCCCATTATGAAAGCTTTGTAAGATATCAAAACGATATGGCTAAATGTTTTATTCAGTTAAAAGAGCCTGAGGAATTGAAATCATTACAAATTGTGACCAATGAAGTAGATGATAACTATTACAGTATACTAGCCATTAGAAATAAATTATTTTCTAAAGATCAGTTGTCTGATGCTTCACAAATAGAAAAATCTACTTCGACTTCTAATGTAAAACTTCCTAGAATTAACTTGCCTATTTTTGATGGCACTATGAAAGAGTGGCCCCACTTTAAGGAAATGTTTATAGCCCTAGTGTACTCAGACGATTCACTTACACCAATTCAAAAGTTTCACTATTTGATTTCTTGTACGAAAAATGAAGCAAATGTACTTGTAAGATCACTGCCTATGTGTTCAGATAATTTTGACTTAGTCTGGACCCAACTTAATGATAGGTATGATAATAAACGTCTACTCGCTTGTCAATACATTGAAGAAATCTTATGTTTACAATCAGTGACTTATGAAAATAACAAGTTGCTGAGAAATATGTTAGACTTAATTACAGAAAACACCATGGCTCTTAAAGCAATTAGTTCACTTCCGAATCTAGAAGATTTCATTATCTTACATATTTCATTGAAAAAGTTAGATAAGCACACTCGCCAACTTTTTGAAAGAAAATTCTCAGACAAAGACTTCCCTACCTTAGATGATTTCTTGAAGTTTCTCAAGGATCACTGCAAGTCTCTTGATGCAGCTCAGGGCTCGTCTCCTGCTTCAACTCACACCACTTCCCGGCAAACCGACTTGCGTTCGACTTCCACCAGTAAGCCTAACAAGTATTCCAAGTCAGACAAGTCTGTACAAAGAACTTTTCTCGCCAAAACTCAGGTTCCAACTTGCTTATTTTGCACTCAGGCCCATAACCTGTATTCTTGTCCTGAATATCTTAACTTGACTCCTGGTGCCAGACGTGATTTCATCCGAAGTAAACAATGTTGCTTTAACTGTTTAAATGCGACACATATGCTGAATAAATGTAATTCAATTCATTTATGTAGAAAATGTGGCAAAAAACATCACACTTCCCTGCATGAAGATAATTTCCTCAAGACTAATTCAACTTTTGACCAAAATAAATCTCCAAGGCCTAACTTAGACTCAACGTTACAGCCTGAAACCCACAAGGAAACATCAGTTTCTCAAGTCAGCTTTGTTCATCACACAAATGCTCCTACACCCTGTGTAACTACTCTTCTTGGCACTGCCCTTATTCAGCTTAGAGACTCTACCAACAACTTTCAGACTTTTAGAGCACTAATTGATCCTGGATCCATGAGTTGTTTTATCACTGATCACTGTGTGAAAAAACTTGGGCTTCCTCGTTCAAAATTAGAACAACATGTCTTAGGTATTTCACAAACTGCTGCCACTTCGACCAAAGGCAAAGTGTCGTGTATACTGAAGCCTACCAAAGCTCATACTCCTCTAATTCCAACTACTGCTATTGTCTTGAACAAGATTACTTCTCCTTTACCGTCTGTACGGTTAACCAAGGACATTATCAATCATTTTAAGGATTGGAATTTAGCCGACCCACATTTTTATGAGCCTTCACCGGTTGACTTCCTCATTGGAGCTGATTTATTCCCCTTGATTTGTGACGGTGGGCGGTCAAATAGCCCTCCTGGATTCCCTACTCCATTCAAAACCATTTATGGATGGACCTTAATTGGTAGAACCTGTCTGTCTTATTTTGAAAACCAACCAACGTGCTCTTCTATCTGCACTAACTTGTCCATTACTGAGTCCTCACTTGAGAAACATCTCAAACTATTTTGGGAACTTGAAGATTTACCACAATCTAAGCCAATAAGTCCTGAAGATCAAGCATGTGAGAGAATATTCGTTAAAACACATTCCAGGGATCCTTCTGGAAGATATATTGTTCGACTTCCGTTCTGTGAAAATCCAGTTGACTTAGGAAACACTTTCCACCATGCAGAACGTAACTTTCACGCTCTTGAGCGACGTTTCCAGAGTGATTTCAACTTCAAATCGGCCTATGTAAATTTCATGAAGGAATATGAGGATTTAGGCCATATGACTCAGCTTCATTCTTCAACTTCGACTACTTCAACCTACGTTATTCCGCATCATGGAGTTTTTAAGAACTCAGAACAAAATCCTAAATTGAGAGTTGTATTCAACGCCTCGGCCCGCAGTTCAAATGGATTTTCTCTCAATGACAAGCTATTAACGGGCAAGAAACTACAAAATGATGTTTCTGAAATCTTGACCCGCTTTCGCCTTCACCCTTTTGTTATCTCATCAGACATCTGTAAGATGTATCGTCAGATATTGATCCATCCTGAAGATAGGATTTTCCAAACCATTCTTTGGAGAGAAAACCAAAACTCACCGCTTGCTACTTATGCATTGAATACTGTCACCTATGGGGTTAGTTCATCACCATTTCTGGCCATTAGAACGCTACATCAACTTGTAGCTGATGAAGGTGCCGATTTCCCACTCGCTAGCAAGGCTATTTTGAATGACATGTTCGTTGATGATTGTCTCACTGGTAACGATTCCCTAGATGAAGCTTTCAAACTCAAATCTGAATTGATTGAGCTCTTAAAGCGTGGTGGTTTTGAACTAAGTAAATGGGCCAGTAATTCTCGTGAACTTTTAGAGGATATTGTAAGCAAGTCTCAAGATATTTTATTCTCTGGAGATAAGGACCACAATCAGTTCATTAAGGTACTTGGTTTAAAGTGGAACCAAAACACCGATGAGTTTACTTATGAAGTTCCTATTCAGAAAACTTTACCAACCAAACGAGGAATTTTGTCTATGATTTCCCGTATTTTTGACCCTTTGGGCTTAGTCACCCCTGTCGTACTCTGGGCCAAGTGTATGATGCAACAAATATGGTTTCTTGGTTTGGATTGGGATGAGATTCTTCCCGATGATTTATTCACTCAGTCAAAAAACTTCTTTCATGACTTGCCGCTTCTAAGTAAATTACGAATTCCAAGGAACGTTTTGCCTCAAAATTCTACTGGTGCGCAACTCCATGGATTTTCGGACGCTTCGGAAGTTGGTTATGGATGTTCGGTTTATCTCAGAGTTGTCACCTCTGATGGCTCTGTTATGACCAATCTGCTAATGGCGAAGTCAAAAATTGCTCCCCTCAAGAAAATAAGTATTCCTAAACTCGAACTTTGTGGTGCACTTCTGCTAAGTAAAGCAATGTCATTTTGCAAAATTATTATTTCATGCAAGTATGAAAATATTCCCCTCTACGCTTGGACCGATTCAATGGTGGTCTTACACTGGATTCATACCTCTCCGCATCTCCTAAAAACTTTTGTTGCTAACCGCATAGCTGAACTTCAACACGTCATCGAACCGTCCTGCTGGTCGCACACTCCGACTACAAGTAATCCCGCTGATGTAGCTTCTCGAGGCCTGCTCCCTCATCAACTACTAGACTGCTCGCTTTGGTGGTATGGTCCTACCTGGCTTAGCGAAGACCAACAATCTTGGCCAACCATTACCCTGGTGCAGAAAACTTAACATCCCTGAGGAGGGTTTAAATGAATTTCGCCCTGCCTCAAAAATAGTTACTGCTTCAGTTGGCATCCCTCAACCAACGCCATTGTACTCAACTTTGGAAGACTTTTCTAATCTAACTAAACTCCAAAATTGTTTTGGTTGGATTTTGAGATTTATTCGTAACTGCCGCAAGGTAGAACCTTTAACTAAAACAAAGTACCTGACAGCGACTGAACGGAATACTTCTCTTGGTACTTTAGTGAAGCTTACTCAGCAAAAATTCTTCCAAGAACACTTCGATTGTATTCTGAAACAGAAGACTTGTACTCCTGCAGTGCAACGACTGGACCCCTTCATCGATTCATCTGGTATTCTACGTGTCGGCGGACGTCTAGAGAAAGCCCAGCTTCCTTACAACGCAAAACATCCTATGCTTTTGCCGAAGAATTCACATCTAACTTATCTGCTTATTGATCATTACCATTTGAATTATTTACATGTCGGCCCTAGAACTCTACAATCACTGCTATGCAGACAATTTTGGATAGTATCTGCCCGCACTGTCATTCGACATAGATTAGCCAAATGTGTTACTTGCGCAAGATATAAAGGTAAAACTCCACAACCTTTTATGGGTAACTTACCTGAAGAGAGAATAGTTTCCACTCGACCTTTTCTTAAAGTCGGTGTTGATTTTGGCGGTCCTTATTCGACCAAGTCTGATAAGTTGAGGAAGCCACAACTTCTTAAAAGTTACATTTGTCTGTTCGTTTGTATGGCAACCAAGGCTGTGCACTTGGAAATGGTGTCATCCCTTTCTACTGAAGCATTTCTTGCCGCTTTCAAGCGATTCATTTTTCGAAGAGGTTTATGTAGTGACATTTTCTCTGACCAAGGAACAAATTTTGTTGGAGCGAATCGAGAACTTACGGAGCTGTATCAATTCTTCTCTCAACAATTTGATTCAATTCTTCCCAAACTATCAAATCAAGGAATCACATGGCATTTTATACCCCCTTCCTCACCTCATTTTGGCGGATTATGGGAATCTGGCATTAAATCAACAAAACACCACATAAAACGAGTTCTAGGCAGTCAAATTTTAAACTTTGAAGAATTCTCCACACTTTTGACTCAGATTGAGGCTATTCTCAACTCACGACCCCTCTGTAGTCTATCGTCTGACCCTAATGAGTTCGAACCGCTGACTCCTGGTCACTTTTTAATTGGCCAACCCTTAGTTGCTTTACCACAAGCAGACTTCACTTCAACACCTATGAATCGACTGTCACGGTGGCAACTAATTCAACAAACTCTACAGCACTTCTGGAATCGTTGGAATCTAGAATACTTACACCAACTACAACAACGACAAAAATGGTTCGTCCAAAATCCTAACCTGAAGATTGGCGAACTAGTTTTAATAAAGGATTCAAACTTGCCACCTGCATCATGGTTAACTGCCAGAATTATTGAAACTCATCCTGGCGAAGACGGTATTGTCCGTGTTGTGAGCGTCAAAACTTCAAATGGAGTTTTCAAGAGGTCAGTCTCAAAGCTCTGTCCTCTCCCCATGGAGTAAGAAGAAGTATATTTACATACTCCATAGAAGATTTTTTAGTTTTTTTGAACAAGGTGTTTGCTTTTGTTTTTCAATTTTGTGTAAAAAAAAAGTTTTTAAATTTTTTTTGGTGGGCGGTATAGACAATCAAGTTTAACAATTTCCCTATTCCTTAGTCACCCAACCTGTATAAACAGCCTCAGTATCAAAGGTCAACCCCAACGTTATCTCTGAAGCTAGTTCCGTGTTAGCCACTGAAGAAGACACATGGGGTACCCCACTACACTACAAGTTCAGTAAGCAAATTTACTCTTGCAAAAGGTATTTATTACTTTCACTTTAATTTTTTGGGCTGTTCCCATTATTATATCCAACAGTACAAATAAATTAGGTTAACATGGGAAACTCCAGAGTCACTGGGCCGAAGGCCTTTTAACGAATCTGCACCAAACTTTACACAAACCATCCTTGAATAGTTCTTAATAATGCCTGAAAGTTTCATTAGAATCTGTCAAGCTATTTAGGTGTCCATAGGGTATATACATACATACTTCCGCTTTAGATATAGATATACCTATATATAAATCTACACTATGTATACATATATATAATTCCATATAAATATACAGTATACAAATTTGAACGAATAGTGTTTTTGGCCTCTAGGGACATAAAAATAAAAATAAATCTGTCCTGGGCCTAGATCTTACCGTGAGCTACTTCCCTAAGGGAAATTTGTTATAACGGATGTTTTTGCTGCAATATGACGAACAATCCATTTTTATTAACAATATGGATTTTTATAAAAACAATAAGTAAATAAGATTAATTTTACCAAACGTTACTTGGAATTTGTTATGATCAAAATCAAAAGAATGTAAAAATAAGGTTTACATTAATTTGAAAACGATGTTTTAAGTTCAGGACACAATAGCCTAATTAAATTATATGTTACATTATTATTAACAGTAATTTTTAAACACTAAAAACAAACATAGAGGACCGCTCATGCCCTTGACAAATAAATTTCAACACCTTTGCACGAACACAAATCAATATCAACATTTGAAAAGGAATAAAAAATACAATTTATAAACAAAACCTACCACGGCATATTCTTGAACAAGTATGCCTACGATAAGCATGATTGCTATTATTAAATTAAACCTACAAATGCTATGACGTAGTGCATACCTGCTTTTCTAGATAAAACAATTAATTGTCCATGACTCATCCGAACTATAGCGTGACTCTTATAGAAAAGTGGATAAACTAGATACGTAAGCGTATCTAGCTTACGTTAGCTCACCCATCTAAATCAATCTTCAAACTGTGCTGTCTTTTTCCACAGAGGGTCTAGAACACATTGAGCATGCATATGCTCAGCAACTAGCGACTGGTTCTGGATTCTATATCTGGCCAGATCTGGTTTTAAGAGTTAATCTGGCCAGATGTGGGTGCCAGATCTGGGATGACATCAAAAACACTCCAACGTGATTTTGGAAATACACGTTCCAGATCTGGCATCTGGTCATATCTGAGATCCAGATCTGAAATTAGTCCAGATATGGCACCAAGGTATGGCCAGATCTGAGACATACTTTTAAATAATATTAGTCGCACACACCAGAAACAGTAACACTTCTGATTTTATTTGTTAAATTAATTTATTTATTTGCGAATGAGAATTAAAGTGACAATGCTATGAAAAACATTTAAATATTGCAACTAAACAAACAGTGCAATAGAAAACAAAACAACTAAATATAGTATGCAATTTAATTCACATGGCAACAAACATTAGCAGCCCTTTTTGAACGAGAAATGTTTGAAAATCTTCACAATTTAATAGTTATTTATTATACTTGTTTAGATAAATATTTAATTGCTTAGATAAAGGGATACTTTTGTACCTATTTTAGTAATACAAACTACAAAAATTAAGAAAATACCCCCGCTGCAGCAAACCTGCAGACTAGGCGAGTTTTCATATGCCAGATTTTAAATTAAATCTATTTGCATTAAGTAAGGTTTAATGAGTACCCAGTTTTGCTGCTACAAAGAGTAATAAAATGAATAAAATGGTAAATATACCAGCTAAGTATAAAATGAATTGCTCTATCTCACTGTAATAACTCCTACTCAGTTCGTGGCATACAGACGCTAACCCTCTAATCAGTAAACCAAATGTTGCATCCTTATCTGTTTCTTATCCGCAACACTGATAATTATCGCCGAACAATAACACTAGAATACAACGTTACATGGGTCTAAGACTGTGATGATATAATTGATCCTTGAATTGATCATTATTAATAGCGAATGATCACTGATCATTTGGATTGTGAATTCCGAATTTGTCTTTTATAGTAGAAGAATATTAGTAAAATCGACCTAACAAATTCGGACTAAGTGGAAACTTTGCACAGTTGTTTAGTAAGCCTAAATAAATAAAATATCAAAAGTCCCCATAAATCCCGGCTGTGCTTCAGATAAATAATAAAAGTTAGTACTAAATTTAAAATTCCCATGTTATTCTTATGGAGGAAAATAAAATTGTTGCAGTTTGCTTATTTATGGATATATTTTGATCAAACTTGGCAAATTTATTTATTTTATAATAAGGTATTAATATTTAACATAAATACACACTTTAGTACCATTCCTATAGCAGTAAACCTAGTACTCGTTAAATCAAAAGTTATTTAAATAGGGAATCTATCTTACTTTTTTAGGAAATACTTTAGTAATGATGCAGTCAGGTAAATGGTAATTTATTTTTTTTTTACATATTAACAATTATTTTCCTTTACCTATCTATAATGTTAAAACGAAACAGTGTTTTTTTATTTCACGATTCTGAATCAACCACTCGACGGATTTTCATGATTTTTGTGTTGAAAGAAAGATAATTTTTAGAACTAGGGAATGTCGATGCCATAATTTTAGTTTAGGGTCCCAGTTTTTTAGAAATTAAGTTTTAATTTTTGAAAAGTCTAGCAGCCGACGCTAAGATTCTAAACTAACTTTTATTATTTATCTCAATAACCGTTGGAAATACAGCAAACCTTGTAATACAAGAAAGATGTATTTTTAGACGTTCTTTAACTTTTGTATTTACAAAAATTCTCTAATACCAATAGTTTGTGAAATATTGTCAAAAAAGTGAAAATTGTCCGCCATCTTCCAACATGGCGGCTGAAGCACAGCCGGGATTTATGGGGACTTTTGATATTTTATTAATTTAGGCTTGCTAAACAACTGTGCAAGGTTTCCACTTAGTCTGAATTTGTTAGGTCAAATGGCAGTTTTCCCCCTAAAATTCTTGGACTATTAGACCTAAACAAAATTTATTGGTTAAATAGTAGTAAAAAAGGGGAAGTTTGGCCCAAAATATATTTTTTATTTTAAAACTTTGATTTTTGAGCTCTGAAACAAAACCCAGCTCAAGTTTTCACCCAGGCTTCCTCTTTAAGACGTTACCCTTTGCTTAAAAATCTCACTTAAGCAAAAATACGTCACAAATTTTGACGCCCGAACAGGGACCCAAAGTATTCGCTTACCTAGTTTGGGCTATCGACACCTTCCTGTACGTTGCGTACAAACAGGGTGGGTTCCCCAGGGTTGAGAACTGGCATCGGGGAACAAATATATTTAACCATGACATAATATTCTTTCCTGTCCACATCCTTGAAAACAATTGGGTTTTAATCGTAGCATGGCCGAAGCGAAAACTGTAACAGGAATTCGACTCATTAGGGAGAGCTCGGCCAACCATCCTCCAGGATATTTTGTACCTACTTGGAGCGGCTGGCCCGAAGATCCGGTGGAATTTCCGCGCCCCAGAATGGGATATTATAGAGAAGGCCACCTGCATACAACAGCCCACAGGCAGCGTAGATTGCGGAGTGTACGTCTGCTTGTACACAGAGCAAATCGCAACCGGGACGTCAGTGACGGATCTGGGAGCGTTGGATGGCGTTGCATTGCGGAAGAGAATGGCATCAGCTCTGCGGAGATCGGAGCTAATTGGAGATGAGGAGCAACTTCTAATCAAGGATTGAAGCGTCCGCAATATTGACCACCTAGTAGCGCCAAGTCACTCGGGTATATTTTGATAGTTATCTCCAATTATCAAATATACCTGAGTGCCCTTCATGTAGGTACTGTTTTGACTGTCAAACGGGACCAGTTAAAGTTATCTTGCGATGCTTTACCAACGATGTTTGAAAATTTGCCTTGTTACCTATCAAAAGTACTTCCTCAAGAAAGAAAGGATCCCAATCAGAGACAGAGGGAGATAGAAGAAAGAGCTGAGCAGACAAAAAATGAACAGAACCGTTTAGACAAAGTAAATAGCTATGAAGAAATAAATAATGGGTTTTTAGTGAAGTGCGCGGTAGAATTGAAAAATGTTTACTCTAAAGTAAGTAATAATCAGTTATGTTTGTTTACTACTATATTTAATGAGAAACAGTTCCCGAAAGTTGATTTGGCGCTCATTATCAAAACAGATCTTTCTTTTACAGTTGTCAAAGACGACTTTGTACTGAATGACAACCCCCAAATATTAGAAGTGAGCTAATGCCCTAGAATAACTAAGTGGTCACAGTTAAAGCAGATCTGCAATCTATTATTCCAGCAAGGTGTCGAATTGCAAATCTCAAAACGTGACAAACTAGCTGTTTTGAATGAAGTAATTGATAACATTTACAATGACCCCTGTTGTTTTTTTTTGGTGGAAGACAAATGTATTAGTGAAAAACAATTTTTTTTTATAAAGAACAAATCAATCTATCCGTAACTAAACAGGTCCGGTACTTTGTTACAACTCTTTTGGTTTGCGACGGTTTTTTTCTCATATCCCGCGGCATACAAATATATCAGACGGTCTAAGTTAATGACTATATGCAACACCCTCGGTATTTGAAATCTTTTACCTGCAACTTAGGTATTGGTAGCTCAGGAATAGACTCATCACATATAAACTATTTGAAAAAGAAAGTATCTGCAATGAGTGAACACGAAAAGCATTGTAACTTGCTTCTAGATGAGATTTATGTAAGACCGGAAGTGACGTATAAAGGTGGTAAGCTTGAAGGTATAGCTGTGCAGTCAAGTGAAAACTCGTCTAATTTGGCCACGACTATCCAAACGTTTATGGTATCATCGTTATTATCAAACAATAAAGAAGTGGTAGGTTTATTCCCTTGTAAAGATTTAACAGGCAAACAACTACACAAACTTACTTTACAAGTATTGGAATTGTTGTCTAAAGTAGGTTATAGAGTGTTTAGTATTATATCTGATAACAACCGCATTAATAGGTCAATGTTTACAAGTTTATGAGGGGAAACTTTAACTTCCAAATTTGTAAATCCTTATGATGGTACTCAGCATATTTTTGTACTGTTTGATTCAGTACACCTATTCAAATGTATACGTAACAACTGGCTCAATCAGACCGATTCCAAACAAACTTTCTATTTTCCAGATTTTAGTAGTCATGATATAGTACTTACTGCAAGTGTTTCTGATTTGAAAATACTTCAAAATATGGAGCAGGATAGTGTAGTCAAGCTAGCTCCACCATTAAGTAAGAAAGTATTGTTCCCTACTTCTCTAGAGAGGCAAAATGTAAATTTACGTGCTAAATTGTTTGATCAAAAAATGTAGCCGCTCTAAAGCAATATCAGCTACAACACAAGATAGCAATGTGGTTGGTACTATAAGTTTTTTAGAAATTGTACTTAGGTGGTGGAAAATAGTTAATGTAAATCATGCTTTCAAGGGAGCGAGGTTTAATGATAGAGATTGCCAAGCAATAAGCACTGTAGATCGTGAGAATATGTTATTTCTAAGATCATTTCTAGTCTGGTTAGAGAAATGGAATAATATTATGGTCCAAGGAGAGTCAGCAAATAATAAAAAAAGAAATGGAAAACTCACACTTGACACACAGTTTGCACTTAAACATACCGTCAGTACAGTTTTAGAAATTGTAGAATGTTTATTTAATGTTTTACACTTTAAGTATGTGTTGCTAGGAAAGTTCCAAACAGACTAGAGGCTAGGTTTGGACAGTATCGTCAAATGAATGGTGCTAGTTACAATATATCTGTTGCACAAGTACTCGAATGAGAAAAGAAGCTTAAAACTCTTAGCATTATAAAGGTATTTTGTGCTAAAAATCGGGAAGTAGAGATAAGGGACTTTAGTGTAGAAGAAACTGAGGGTCCAGAAGGGGAAACAAACATTTTTTTTGATGTTTCAGAATTTGAAGACATTTCTCATGAGTTAGAAAGTGCTGATATTTCCGAAAATGATGTTGTCGGTATTACCTACATAGGAGGGTACATTTGTCATAAATTATTAAAAAAATTTCAATGCAACTGTTGTAAATCTAAATTTGTTTTAATCGATAAGCAAACAATCCTCAACTCACATACAATGTCTTATTATTTTACCGTGATAGATAGGGGCAATTTACAATATCCCTCTGACCTCATCATAAATACATTGATTACTGGTTTGAAGGTTTTTAAAGTTATGATTGGTGAAAGATTTGAAAGTACATTTTTGAAGTAAAAATGTCAAAGAAAGGTACTAATGTCGGTAATGTACCATGTTCTCGACAGCACAAATGTTGAGGTATATCTTTCTTGTGGTAAAGATATAACCCCATTGTTTAAAAAATGTTTATTAACATTCTGTAATATTTTACTGAATAGTTATAGTAAAATGAAAAAAAAAAAACAACGAACAATCGAGGAAGGAAAGAAGTGTGCCAAAAAACGTAAGCTAGATAAGCTTTGTAATAAGAATTGATAAAAGATTGTCTTGTACAGATTAAAAACAAGTAAAGACTTAAATTGTTTTTTTTATTCAACATTATCTATATTTAACTTTATTATAGCAGTGTTATAAATAATACGCATATACAGTAATAAAAACAATGATATTACAACATTTGCATCAAATAATAGCCTAACTAGTAAATATATTTTGTCATTATAAAAATACACATCATTATTATAAGAATAAAAAAATAGCTAGTCACTACGCTACACTAACATAAAACATCACTGCAAAATTCTATTATTAGGTATGTTTCTGCAAAATAAATGTTGGAATAGAAGTATCGTATGAAAAATTTAGAGAAGAGTTTGATAAGTGCAACATTGGATTTGGATATCCAAGATCCGACACGTGCAATAATGCACTCAAAGTCCAAGAGGGAAGTATTAATGAGGAAATTTCTAGAACTGTTGATCCTAACGAATTGTAAGATTTACAAAAGAAGTTAAATAAGCTACACACTGAAATGGAATTACACAAACGAAGAGCAGATTAATTTTATAGTCTTAAAAGATCTGATAGACTTAAAGCACAGAAATCTGACAGTTTGAAGCTATAACAATAGATTATGGAAGAAATCTACCACTTCCAAACATAACAACCAAAGATATTTATTATAAAAGACACCTCTCTTTTTATTTGTTTAACATACATGTACTCTCTGATGGTTCATCAATTGTGTTTACACATACGACGAGACAGTTGCAAAGAAAGGGTCCAACGAAGTAATTTCTATGCTTCACCACTTTTTTATGAATTCTTTAAACCCCAATGTACGTGAGATACACATATTTTGTGACTCGTGCGGGGGGCAAAATAAACATTTTACTTTTATAAGGTTGTGACAGTGAATTTCAAATTTCCCGCGAGATAAGTAAATCACAGATATGTCGTGGAGTACGTCAGGCGCCACCGTCATTTAGCTACCCCCCCCCCCACCACGACCTTGAGAGGGGAAGGAGCCCTAGGAGGTGACCAGTGGACATTCAGTGCCGTACCGTCTAGGAATCAAGTTGTAAGTTTTCGTTGATGGCGGAAGTGAGTGTAGAGTCGCCGACTGTCGACGGGGACATATTTCTATATGGGTAAGTGTTCCTCCAAAAGTCTTAAGTTTTAATTCTTTGACAAACTCAGATCTTAATGTCAATTTTTTCCAAGTTGTCTCGATTTTAGTTTTCCAGTATCGAGTCCATAAAGTATTTAACGTTCTAACCCTCGGTTAGAGGCAAATGTCTCACCTCGAGACTCTAGACTATTTTAGAAGTTTTATATCTTATAATCGAGCGGAGGCATCTGTCTCGTCGGTTCGATTATAAAAAGACCCCCTAAATTTCAAGTAAGAAGTCATTTTGATTTAGTTTTTGTGAAATGAAAAGTCAGTGACATTTTATTTCAGAGTATTCCATTTTGTTTTTCCGTAGGTTAAGCGAGGATAAAGTTTAATTTTATTTTCAGAGAGTGTTATTCTAACCTGTATCCATTAATTTGAAGTCCCCTGTAGAATTGCTATTCAATATTAGTAGTATACTAAAAACCAGAAGAAGTGTGTAATTTATTAAGTTGCAGGTTGTGTTCCGTGTGGGGTAATTATCTCGCATGGCGACACGTTTATAGAGAGTGTCAGGTTATCGTTTATTCTCTAATTTAAAGCCCCTTTTGATTTTGATCTTATTTGTGTATTTTATAGGCCCACGAAGAGTTTAGATGAAATGTTGTCTTACGTATAATATTCCATGTGGGGTATACATAGGAATATTACAGTGCGTTTGAGATTAATCTGGTTTAACGCAGTCAGTTTATTAGGCGTTTAGTCGTAAGATTGAGCTAATTTTCCTCAATATTTTGTCTCCGAAGTGCGGTGACCTTTTGGATATTTCTTACGTATTAATCCGCGTGAGGCACATGTCTCGCGCGTCGGTAGTTTATTCAAATTAATTACACCCGCCTTCAGATTAATTGACGGGTCAAGTCGTATGGGGCATTTGTCTCGTACGACACAATTTGTAAATATAAGTTTTATAAAGTATCGGGAGGGGCATCTGTCTCTTCACGAAATCAAATCTATCATTCACCTTGTAAACGTGACGATTCAGTGTGTATCGGTTACCTTGAGATACCGTTTTACATATAATAAAGTGTTACGATTCACCCTGAGGTGTGAAGTGTGTAGTGTAGGTTTGGTGCGAGAGAGGAGCACTTTCCAACA